TGGGGGGCAGCGGGGAGGGTGGGGAACCCCAGGGAGGCAGAGCCGGGAGCCCCCCCGATCCCCCAGAAAACATCCCTCTGGCCTTAGAACCTGAGGGAGGTTTGGGTTGGAAGGGACCGTGCAGATGATCCAGTTCCAGCCCCGCACCATGGCCTGCATCCCTTGTCAGCACAGCTGCCTGTCTCACGGCCACACACAGAAGGTGCTCAGGGCAGAGCCAACGGCTGAAACAGGTCCTGAACATCACAGAATTGCAGCATGCTTTGGGTTGGAAGGGACCTTAAAGATCACCCAGTGCCACCCCCCTGCCCTGGGCAGGGCCACCTTCCACTAGCCCAGGTTGCCCAAAGCCCCGTCCAACCCGGGGAGGGGGCAGCCACAGCTTCTCTGGGCGCGGGAGAGAAGTTCTTTCCCCACTATCAGGCGGCTCCACTGGTAAAGCAGCCGTGGCAGGTCCTTATGCAGGGATACGGTCAGGAACGGGACCACGGGGAGCAGCTCCAGGGGAGTAACCCCACCCGGGGGGCTCAGACAGGCTCCCACGTTCAAGGCCAAGGCAGGTGGGAAACGACAGCCCCGGTCCCCGCTGCCCACCACGTCTCAAACCAGCTCAACTCTTCCCGCCAGCCCGTGGCTCTGAGCAGCAGCACGGTCCATGTCCCCTGGAAGCCGTTTGCCAGCTCCATCTGCAAAAGAGTCACCAGCAAGATAAACGGGTGCGTAACCCACCGCGGGCCCGTCAGAACTACCAGCGGGCATTTTAGGGAGCCCTTCTCCTTTAAAGCCCACAGCAAGCACTAACACCCAAAATAGCGTAAAAAAGCTTGCGACAGCTTGGGCTAGGTCACCCAAGGGACACCAGCTATTTGTGCGGAGAGTTTAGCAGGGTGACACGGAGCTCTTTTGCGTTGGCAGGCTTCTGACTCATTTTATTTTACACTGCAGAGCCGAGTAGCCCAAGCCTTTATTAGAACTGGTGTGGCAGTTGTGCTCTGTGATGCCCACGCACGGGAAGGAGTAACTTCTCTGCATCATTTCTTTTGTGTGCAGTTTGTCCTGGCTCCGTTTACACATCATGTAAACATGCTAAGGCAGCCTCAACTGTTAAACAAATGCTGCTTTCTTTGCATCATTCGTTAACAGATCGCACTTCTCGGACTGTACATTAAATGGCTGAGAGAAAATAATACTTGTTAGCTGTTTTCCTTAATATTAACATAAATAGCATTGCTATTTGGAAGAAAATCAAGGTATGAAATTGTTTAATAAATGAAAATATAAATTCCAAAGCACTCAGAGAATTGTTAAATAATGTTTTTTGTACATCTAGTACAGACTTTGGAAAGGAGGCTCACTCAGGGCTTGGGGAGGGCTTTGAGCAGCCTGACCTCGTGCAGGATGTCCCTGCCCACGGCAGGGGGGGTGGCACCAGATGACCTTTACAGGTCCCTTCCGACCTTCTATGATTCATGAGGAAGCGTGAGCACTGCCAGACCAACGCAGCCTTGACTTGATGTGCAAGCTAAGCACTAGTCATGGCCTTTTGCTTCACCCAAAACTCAGAGCTATTTACCGAGAAAAGGCCTAAAAAGGTAATAGCTGGCCTAGATCTCAGATCAGCGCAGAACATCTGTACCTGCAGGATGTTCAGAAGATACAGAACAGCCCGTACCTGGCACGCTTTGACATCAACACAGTCCGTGTTTGCAGCTCCAAACTCCAATGAGCCAGAGAGACAAAAACAACAACCCAGGGTGCTGATCATCGTCATTTCTAGACTCTTGGGGATAGTGCTGCACCCATTTATTGCAGTTTTAGACTTATTTCATCACATTGTGCTTTGGCTTTGGTTGGGGTTTTTAGGCCCTGCAACTCGGCTGTATTTTAAAACTGATAGATGAATGCTTTGGGGTAAGAAGGCTGACGGAGGCTTAATGCATTTTTGTTTTCCACAAAGAGGTCCAGAAATCAGTAATAATACTCATGCAACCTGTGAATTTACAAGTTAACCAAGTGGCAAATGAAACTGTGATCTGACCTGGTCACTTGGACATAAAACCAAAGCCAGCAAGTGCGAATTACCATGGCTCGGGTGTGTGATAGCAAGACAACATAAAAACATGATTCACCTACTTATTTCTGTGTTGTGTCGATGACTGCTTCTTAAATTGATGCTTTTCCATGACTTGGAAAAAGATTCTGGAAAAAAAAAAAAAAAAAAAAAAAAAAAAGATAGCTGGGATAATCAAGCCTAATTCTCTGTTATTCCAGACAATCTGTGTTCCCCTTCCAGAACCATTTAATAATTAGGAAGGCTTCTCACCCCTATGAACTTTAAGGAAGCCCTAGAACCTACTGGGTGATGATCAGAAACCTCTGTTTTCCATCCCAGGATTATCCATGACCATCCCTTACTGCCAGATTTGTTCCAATTTAAATCTTTACTTTCCCTCACACTTACCATCAGATACAATCATGTCTTCTCTCTGCTTTTATTTCAAGGGCAAAAATCAACAGAACCTGCATTTTCCAGCCTATGAAGAATGCCACTATGTTCATCGTGGCCCTCCTTTTCGTTATCCGTGCTTTAGATCACCCGTCTTGAAGATCAGAGACAAAACTTGTGTCCTTCATCCCAGGCAGCATCTCTCCAGAACCTCGCACATCTCATTCACGTGACCCTCTGCTGAAAATCTCTCTACGCATCACCTAGAATAAAATATTTGCCTTTATAATATCTACTCACACCATGCCCAAGTTTACAATAGATATTTTTCCTCTTTTATCATTTCCTACTGAGCTTCTAGCTGTTAGCAAAAATACCTAGTAATTCATAAATACATGACTTCACACTTTGTCCTGTTAAATCCTCTTCCCACCGTTACCCTGCTCTTAAAGATAACCAGTTTTTTTTTTTTTTTTTTCTCATGAACTTACAAATCTGTCATGACAATTTATCAGTCTGTAACTTAGAAATATTATAGGCTTGGAAAGGAATGAGTCATCTGACTGAAAACACAGGAGCTTACGTTTATAAAGATTCAAAAGTGCAGACAAAACTTTAAAGTCAAGATACTGTTTTATAAGAATTAATGAGCTGGGGACTGATGGGTTGTGTAGGGCAGTTACATGGCAATAGGCTATAAACATCCTTAGGAACAGAGGATGTTCAGACTGAAATATGACTAGTTCATAGCAGACACGTTAAAAACTGAATCATTTTGCCTATACAGCGTAAGCGTGAAATGTTAACTTTGAGTAAAACTGAGAACTTTCAACACATGGGAACGCTGGATCTTACGAGGTGGTCCTAATTACGATTTGTTCAGCAGCTCAAGGAAATTAAAAATGAAAACCCTGACACAGTTTTTATACCTTAACCAACCACTTGAGAGTCAGTATCTTGGTCTAAGGCAGAAGAAAGTGCGGCAGCTTCCCTGCAAAGAGAGAGAAGTGAAATAGTGAGGCAGTGCACACATTTAGTAGAGCAATGAGTTTTGCAAGACATGAAATGAGAGGGACACTACTTCAAAACGCCACCAGGCTTGAGTAAAAGTATTTTCCATCAGTAATTTGATACTTCTTTTTCACATTTACTTTTTTTGGCACGCTGTATTAAAGGAAACTCATAACTTAAGTGCTTTTTTTTTACATGGAAGCAGTGAATTAAACTTTTACAGCTGCCTACAAAAATAACTATCATTCCTGTGATGGCTGGTTCCGTATTTGTTATGCAAATACTATCACTGTTATCATTTTTGGACACTGTCATGGTCTGAGGCTGCACGATAAATACGATTTAGCAAATTTACCAAAGGCTTGACCACAGTTCCTGATGTTGAGTCTCTCATGAGTGTGGTCAAAGGCAAGTACCCTCCTCTCTCCCTGTTCAGCTGTTTCCTGAGTATTTTTAAAACACTCCCTCTAGAAACAAATTATTTCTACTTTCAAGAGTTTAAAAGTTGTAAGCCAGTCTTCCAAATCACGTAACTGACTTAAAAACCACTGAGGACTCGAACGAATTATGTGGCAGGCAGATCTCTGAGCCAACAGGATATGCCCAGCTCTTTTTTTCAGTCTTTCTCACAGCCAGTAGCAGGAATGTTTTTTTGTTTTTTAAGCTGAAGGTACGTGTCCCGTAATGACTCGGCTCCAGAAACCCGCAGCTGAGGAACAGGGCGATGCGCAGAACCTTGCGGTTGCCTCCAGCCGCGGGCCAGGAGCCGCCAGGCCGGGCGGTCCCGGGCCGGGCTCAGCGCGCCCAGACCACAGCCCGGGCCTGAAGCCATTCCCTCCTGCCCCC